TTCTTCCTCTGGGTGCGTTTGAAATCTTCTACGCGATTTCCGCGACAGTTACGCGATGCGTGTTAATATGATATGTGCGTACAACTGATCTGCACCGAATCCGAAACAGCAGAGCGCGGCCGTTGGAAATGACGAGCCAACGACCGTTATTAAGTTTGAGTACCCGCGCAGTACCCATATACCTGCCATCTGGACAGGTTCGCAGATCGAACACCAGGTGGCGTCAGCGAGCATATTGCAAATCCGAAAACCAAATGCGAACATTGTTGATGCAAAAAAAAACTCACATATAATAAAACGCCCAACCAACCATGGTGAAGGTAGCAGAGGCTGTGCCGAAAGTAGGAGACTGCATCGTCAATAGAGTGACGACAGGGGAGATCCCGGGCCGGGTGGTGCCGGATTTATCAGAGTCCGGTGCCCAGTCGGGGCCGCAAAGAAGGTGGCCCAGGTGGGCAGAATAAAGGTGGGATGGAGCAATGCTAGGGTGAAAGTTCTTCACCCTGCACTGTTATAGGGGCTTTGGGAAAGGGCACCTAGTCTGCTGCGCCTCGCTGCGCCGTATTTGCAAGGACTGGCTGCAAGGCGGGGCATATCATGGGGAGTAAGGGCTGCGACCCTCAAGTCGTCAGAGGCAGGCTCTCTGAGGTCACTGAGTCCTCGGCGCCGTAGCCGGGGCCCTCAGATAGGAGAATGTCTAAGTGATTCCAATCGCTCGGACATATCCTAGTCACCTCTCGGCGATCGTGGCTTTCCTCCTCTGTCCTCGGAGAGAGGACCAAGAGTTTTGAGCGCCGGGGGATAGGTGGCTCCGGCTCTGTCTCGACGAGTCTGCATTGAACAGATCCTGGGATATGTGGTGCCCTTGAAGCTGGGGGGCACCGCACGTCCACAGGTTCAAAGTCGCTCAGCGCACTATGGAAAGGGCTATGCTTGGCGTTTCTCTGAAAGATCGCATCAGAAATGAGTTAATCCGACAGAGAACCAGAGTTATCGACATAGCCCGCCGGATTAGCAAGTTAAAGTGGCCATTGGGGTAGACGAGTTTTGGAGTGGAAACTGCGTCTAGGCAAACGTAGTGTAGGACATCCTCAGGCACGATGGAGTGACAATTTGCGCAAGGTGGCTGGCAGGAGCTCGATACGAGTAGCCCAAGATCGATCTGAGTGGCGTGCATTTGGAGAGGCCTATGTCCAGCAGTGGACTAAGATAGGCTGTTGATGATTGATGATTTGCTTTATAGACAAAGCAAATATTATTTTACGGTTAATAAGTTGTAAGCTACTAATTTATTACACTATGATCATTTATGTATTTAGACGACCTCCGTGGCCGAGTGGTTTATACGCCGGGTTTTATGGTGTTGCCGACTCGAGGGGTCCCGGGTTCGAATCCCGGTGGGGGCAGATGTTTGTGTGATGAATACGAGCATTTGTACTCCAGTCATGGATGTTTAATATGTATTTATATAAATATACTTATATATGTGCAGTATATGTATTCTATCCGTTACCCTAGTATCCCATAACACAAGCCTTACAGTGCTTACTTTGGGGCTAGGCTAATTGGTGTGAGTGTTGGAAATATTTATTTATTTATTTATTTTATGTATACTTAGTATGCAAATGAAATTTTGAAGTTTGAAGTTTACAATAATACAAAATGGAATTTTCTAGAAGGCCTTATTATTTAGGATGACCCTGCTTACGTCTATCGACATATTATTATGCTGTCTACGATCAAGCGTGCTTCCCTATTTAATGATATCGTATTTCATAATCATTTCTCAATGTAATTTTTAAATCACGAAATAATAAAGATAGATGTCCACTGCTATTTATTTATAGCCTTATTGGGTGGGACTTCTTCAAATAGTTTTTCTTTTAAAATACTCGTACAAAATCCGTGGCCAGCGACCGTTAAAACCTGATAAAACGTTTCCACCTGACTAATTTCAGCCAATTAGTTTAACAAAACTTTATTTTTGAAATCAATATGGTCCCCTTGTAACAAAAAAAGCTGTCTCCGTCTATCGCTTGCAACTAGCAGTGCTCATTACATCAACGTAGACACTGTTCCATTTTAGTCGATTGCTGCACGAAATTACATAAAAAAAACCTCTCGTAGAGTTGCATAAATAACATTACCTTTGATTGTTATCGATATTGCGTCAAGTGATAAAGCGGCCAATTGTTGACAATTAGATACGTTCGGAAACTTTTACCCAACGTCGCCTACTTAATTCATTATTAATAAAGCGAATAATTCAGGAAATTTGAAACGTGACTATAGAGAATAGTTGATGCAGATTTCTCTGCGAACCAGTTTCACTGCGTGCACAATGTGCCGATCGGGAGAGCCTAGATTGCTCCACAGTCGAATGAACTGTGCAAGTTTCAATATACATTCTATAATTATATTTATTTAAAGTGATTTAAACTTACTGTCTTAATAAAAACAATATTATAATAATTATTGAGTAAAAAAAAAACAATCAATGCAGTGACGAAAATATTTATATCGACGATTTTCTAATGTAATATAAACATAAAACAATAATTGAATTAGTTATGTTTTTATTTATTTTCAAGCATTTAACTGCTAGATGTTTAAATGTAAAGAAAAGTTTACTAGAAAAAAATTGTGGGTTACCTACAATGCGAAGAGATGGCGCTGCCTTGCAGCTTAAGGCTAGGAAAATTTCGACGCGGCGAATAGGGCCGTGGTAGCATAATGGTCAGTGCATTCGCCCGGATTGCGAAGGGTGCGGGTTCGAGTCCCGTCCGCTGCCTGGTCCGCGTGGATTTTTTTCTAGTAAACTTTTCTTTAGATTTAAATAATTGAATTATTTTAGTAACCTCAATCAAAACTGTAAGAATGAAGTATTTGGAGAACATGAGTTTTCGTAATTAAATCTGAGTGAATCATTAAAATAAGCCTTATAAATGACAAAGTGCTAAACATACATAGTTTAACAGTATCGATAAAAAGTAACGCGTGCTATGTTCATAGTTGATGTTTCAAACACCTTCTTTTTCCTTTCCTCGACCGTTCTCATTGACCCGAGGCCCAAGTCATATACTTTTCGAGACAATGGAGATAACAATCATTTTTTTCTTAAAATTCCAAAGTACACACTTTTTTTCTGTTGATATCCGTGGCCGAGTGATTTATACGCCGGGTTTCATGGTGTCGCCAATTTGAGAGGTCCCGTGTTCGAATCCCGGTGGGGGCAGACGTTTGTGTGATGAATACGAGCATGGATGTTCAATATGTATTTCTATATAAATATACTTATATGTGGACAATATATGTATTCTATCCGTTACCCTAGTATCCCATAACACAAGCCTTTCAGTGCTTACTTCGGCTAGGCTAATTGGTGTGAGTGTTGGAAATATTTACTTATTTCTATCTTTCAAATTGATTGAGAAAATTAAGTTTGAAGTATGCATTTTCGCACGACATTATTTAAAAACGCGGACGCCCGCGAATATGCGCTGACGCCACTCGTCCTATCGTGGCTTCAGGGCTGCGTTCAAAACCTACGCTCTAGATGCAATAAATGTCAAAGTTGACATTAACTTTATACATTTTATGTCAAAATTGAAACGTCAGGGTAAAGAATTTCACTTACAGCGTAGGTATTGAACGCACCCTTATTTATATATTTTTTTTTGCCGTGAGGAAAATGTGTGACGCGTACCCTGCCGCCTGACAAGCGGCGAGGTTATGTGGGAATCTCCTCCGAAGACTCGTCGAACGGAGGTCCATTCAATGAGTCCTCGACGTAGTCTTTACTTTGGTGTTAGATATATTTAAGTCTAACATTTTTATTCCTCTTGTTTTCTCCATTGTCAGGCTAGTATAGTATTTAAATGCAAGGCTTGGAATTATTCAAAAATTCCGTATTCATAGAGAACCGACAAATCAAAATACATATTTTTATATAAAAGAAAACAGTCTAAAAATAGCCCAAATGTATCTATATACGATTATAACTGCTGACAATATGCACCAAATTTATAAAAATCTTAATTTATTGTATTGTCAGGACAAAGGACACCCGGCATTTTGTGCCAAAGTTGTATGCTTTTTTAATTTTTCTATCTGTGTTTCATAATTGGGTAACGTAATCTAGCAATATTTGTCATCAGCAGCTAGCTGTCAATGTCAAATACGTAGGTTTGTCATCAAAAGGGTTTCTATATCAAAAAATATTATTCATTAAATAACTTCTTTCCACGATTCACTAAAAATAAGGCAAAAGTAGTTTTATGTAGCAAATAATTTTGGCTTTATTTTGAGACCAAATTCAACTGTATACAAGTTTAGCATTTTTTCTATGAAAAGTGCCGGGTCTCCTTTGCATGAAAGATTTTTTTAATGCTCCGCTAGTAATTTTGGAAATTGTTTATATCTCAACTCTTCTAATTATTTGTATACGCAATGCACCCGTACAAAGACGTGCTGGCCGCTTGATAGTCTGTTATATAAACCCAATGTATAGTTATCAAAGGTAAAAACATCAGTGTAAAATGGTTAAAGTGAAAAAAGAAATTGCAAGCTACTTTCAAAAAAGAAATTTTTTAAGTTACATGCTTAAAAAAATAGAAGTTACTATAATCTTAAAAGATACTTTTATTTCTTTATGTAATAAAACATACAACTACACAAAATAAAACTGAAAACAGGTGAATAATGACACGGACAAGCCTGTGGCAATTTAATAATCAATGTCATAAAATATAATTTGTTTACTCTTTAATCTGAAATTAACATTTTAAACTTGAAATTCATATTTATTTCTAATTTTAGTTAAATTTAATGAATAAACTCACGCTTTACTCATATGAGATTCACAAAAAATATTTCCGCTGCCCTCCTGTAGCAAAGTCCACTCCCACTCTAACAAAACGAACGACTGCATAGCAATCGGTCCGAAACGACCAACCGAGGAGATAAATACGATCGACGGCGCACCGGCCCGGCTCAGTCAACCGGTGTGGCCGCCGTGATGTCACTGGCACGATGCCCGCGCGCCTAGCAATCACTCTACTTGTGCTACAGTGTCTTGGAATATGTGTACCCATCAGGGTCCCCACCGTGTGGGATGGTGATAACAGTGAAGTGCAACCTGAAGAGGACAAGTTTTCAGTAGAACAGTTTAAACCGCAAGTCGTGCAACAACAGCCGATACCCATTCAATACTTCGAATATACGGCGAAAAAACCTCAGTTCGCAGTGGATGTCGCCGCTTTTCATGGTGTACAGACACCCGAGAAGCTTTTCAAAGCACGACCAGTGACACCAATCAATGGGAGAATCAAACCAGAGTTGGGAAGACACCGAATACAGGATGAAGATAGACCAGTGTTTCACCAGTTTCAGAAATATATTAATCAAAATGATAATTTAGGGTCTTATGTCACTCCAGCGACCTCTGTCTACAATGTATTTCATCCGTACAAAGCTGAAGAACCTCGTTTGCAGGAGATATACAAAGATCCCGTTTTAGATAAAATACGGAATGATATACGTGTCAGTAGCCAGCGATTAGAAAAACAACAAAATGACGATGGAAAGTCAAATGTGTCAAAAGATGAGTACTTAGAAAGTCTTGACCAGACAGATTCCAAAAAAGCACCTCAGAAAAATGAGCCCGTTCCTTATGAAATACATAGACCACAGCGACGTCCTGTTTACTACAGACCAATACCAAAACATCCTAACAGGGATCAAGTATTAAATCAACGCTTCAAGCACCCATGGAATCAAAATTATGTTAAAATAAGACCATTGCATTATCAACCTCTTAAACACCAATTACAGAGACTAAGACAACACCACGCTTTAACATATGATGATGAGCGCAATCAATATCCTCAGGTACCTATTTTACAACCATATGAAGAACCATCTAATGGATACGACATTTATGTAAAAGGAAAAGAAAAGTACGTGAATTTAAGAAATAATTTAGATGAATCTATCAACAACTTAGTAACTAAGAATAGACCTATTGTTACTCAAAAACTAGAACTCCAAGAAGATGAAAAGTCATCTGACGAAGAAGAGGAGGAAGAGTTTGTACCGGTAAAAAATTATGCGCAAGTCAGAAAAACTGAAACAACAAAACATTTGCCAAAAGAAGCGGCTTTTGATGACGCAGAAAGTTATGAGGAAATAAAAAATGCACCAAGACTGAGAGAAGCTATAAAAAGTACCAAAGCACAAACTGTGTATACCGAAGAAGGATACGAGGATTCTGCATATGATCATGCTGGAGAACAGAAACATGCTTCAGATCATGAAGCTCATGGTGGTTTTCTTAAGGAAAATGAACTTAGTGGAGGAAAATATAAAGCTCCTTCAGTTAGTGCAAGTTATGAAGATGCTGGTGGTTTGGCACATAAAGACCAAGTTTTAGATGGCAAAATATGGAATGAAAATAACAAAGATAGTAAACAACAAGAGCATTCTGAAGACTATTCAGAAGATGATTATGAACATTCAGCTGAAACTGAAAATTACAAGAACCGTCCACTTAATAATGAGAAAATTCAAAGAAACAAGAGGCATGACAATAATGAATCAGAAAGTGAAGAACATGAAACTAGTCAAGAAAGCAATGAATATTTTAACACTTCTGCAAACAACACCAATGCCACAGAACAGCATGATGTCAATAAACGAGAAACAGATTTTAAGGTACCAGAAGTAGATATTGATTCTACGTTATTAACTTCGAAAGATATTTTAGAAATAGCTAAGGAAAAAATTGTAACCCCAGACCTATCAGAAAAATATCCATACTATTTAAAAAATTTAAAATCTGTCAATATAAATTCTCCGATACGGTATGCGGAAAACTTCAAACTTATTCCAAGAAAAACTCAAGGTGGAACCGAATTTTATGACTCTAGATCACAACTTGAATGTCCTGAAGTCGATGAGAAAGTTGATGCATTGCCTGAAAAATTAAAGAAAAGAGGGCATCCTGATGAATCAGAAACAGGGGATGAAAAGAAACAGAAAGGCGAACAAATTGAGTCACTTCCAAGGTTAGAGGGGTTAGGAGATAAAATTGATTGCTTCAAAGCTAAATATTTTGGACATAATCCACTAGATAGTCCTTTTTTCAATGAAGATATTATTTCTGAACCACAACCGGTTTATTTACCAAATTTATCATCTTTTAAATTGAAAGATTCTAAAAGAGTGCCTTTATTAGAAACTGCGTCAAATAATATTGTAGCAACGCTTGAAAATCTGCCTAGTGGAGATATCTACGCACTTTTGGAAAAACTGAAAAAAGATAATAATCAATTGAAAGATTCGTTAAACACTAGTCAACAGGAAATAGCAGAAAAACTAAACAGAAGTCATATACCTTTAATAAATATTTTTGAAGTACCGCATAAAAATAACTCTAATAATAGTCTTAATTTAAATACTCTAGAAAAGTCTATGAAATATTTACATGTCACACCTCAAAATCAAGAGACAAATGAAACATCTAAAATTATGCAAAATAATAAAGTTGGTGACCTTTTTGAAACTGCAAAACATATTTATAACACTACAACGGCATCTCGAAAGAAAAGAGCTGCTCCTTTTGTTTACGAACCTTATAAAATTATAAGAGATGTTCAACCGTCGGACTCCAAAAAGACAACAACTACAGGCAATATAAGTCCTTTAATTAAACAACTTCAATCGAGTAGGGTCATTGACACTGTAGTGAAATCTAAAGAAAATGATAAAGATCAACCATTAAAAGTAAGTCTTGGAACTAGAACATATAAAGATATTGGTAAAAAAGAACGGGAAAAGCCATCAAACACCAACTTAAATGATTCTTCAAGTGCAAGTATTGTTGATGTAAGTGTTGATAAGCGAAGAGGTGAGCCTAGGTATGAAATAAGACCTTTAAATCATAAAGCTGAATACTCACCTGTTCAAAATAAAAAAGCTATGTCAATAGAAGATTATGAAACTCAAACAAAACTTTCAAATGAAAATGAAACAATAAATAATTTGAACACCAAAAGACCGTCAGCAAGATCTCTTTTTAATATTGCGAACAATTTTCAGAAATCTGAAGACTTCCACAATTTAGCAGCTTCAAATACTGTTCGACGAACTATAACTACATCTCCCCGAACAGTTAAAAATAAAAAAGTGATACCTTCACAAGAAACAAAAGTTGAAGTTGAGAGTGACGAGGACTATGAAGATGAATATGATGACGAAGATGAAGAGGACGAAGAAATATCGACAACATCAACAACTACTACTACCACGACAACTCCTAAGCCCATATTTCGCAAAAGGATGAGAATAGCAACTACTACTCAGTCTCCTGTTATTGAAACTACTGAAGAGCCGACAAAATTGAAATTGGTAACAAGGTTCCGAAATTCCGGTGCCAGCTACAGGAATACAAATGAGAATAGTACTGCTAAGTACCCTAAGCTACATGATGAATATGATGATGCCACATTTCCTAAGTACAGGGAAAAGAAGAAAATGAGTTCAAAAAGTACTTTAGTAACAGACACAAAAAAATATGGGGATGAAGACGATGATATGAAAAAAGAAGAAATTGATGCTTTGATAGGTGTCAAGCATAATATGGATGACTATATGCCATTATATGAAAAAGAAGCTTTAAAGAAAAATCAAGAAAGTAAGTCAGATTCCAGTGAACAAGACGAAAGTGAAGAAATTGACGATGGAAGTGAAGAAGACGATGAAGACGAAGATGATGATGAAAGTGACGAAGACGAAGAAGATGAGGAAGATGACGAAGAAATAGATGAAACTCAACAAGTAGAAACACCCAAACCATTCACAACAGAATCACCAAAAAGATCACTTGTCAGAACAACTGATGCACCATTGTCAACTACTGAAGCTAAAAGTGCTAAATTAGAAAGTAAGCCATTAGTTTCGCGGCGAAAAGTTGCAATACATAAAGAACTACCTGTCGACAAAAAATCACCTCATGTTACTGAGTTTAAACAAGATATTGAAGAAGTTGAAATCATTAAGGAAATACCTAGAAAAACTGTAGAGAAAAAACCCAACAAAAACTCAGAAGCACTGAATTTATATAAAGATGATAACTTGGCCACGGATATAAATAAATTAGGTGCCGTCGAAGTATTTAATAGAAATTTGGATCTCAAGAATGGTCCAAAACATGGTGGCAACTACAGAAAGGCTCCGGAATTAGTAGAAAAAGAACTTAGTGAGTCATCTGATGCTAACGTCAAAAAACCAAAAGATGCAGAAGCCTCTCAAACTGAAAATAAGAAATCAATTGAGTTGGATGACAGCCCGACACCAAGAAAAATGCACGGAGGAAATCTTAAGTCAATCAACGACGCAAAACGCTCAAGGGGTGAGAAGAAATTCGAAAAGTACGTTGAATTGAAGGATATCACAGAAAAGCCAGATAGTTCGCTACATGGAGGAAATCTTAAGTCAATCAATGATAGAAGTAGACAACGAGGAGGTCACCGAAGCGAAAAGTTGATAGAACTTGAAGATGACCATGATGATGATGATGATTCTACAAACCGTATGCATGGAGGCAATTTTAAACCATACTCTAGTTCTAATAGCAGGAATAGCGGAAGGGGGTTGCATGGTGGAAATTATAGGAGTTCAAGGTTAATACAAGCTGACAATAACAGCGATGAAAGCACAAAACGGTTGGAAAAGGCAAAGACTGAAACTACAAAAAAATTAAATTCGGCTGATCTTTTAAACAGTTTTGCTCGAGCAGTCCCTATATTGACAACCACACCATCATACATACTCGATCCAAGCAAACGAATGTATTACTATGTTGATGCATAATGTATTGTTATACTCAACAAATATTGATTATTATAAGTACTAAACAATTAGGTGCGTAAATGTTTTGATTAGAATCGTTTAGAAAGTGCCACAACATAATTTCGTGTTACTTTTTGACAAAGGACGTGAAAGTTATACGAAATTGACTTGATATTATTGTAAATTAATGAATGTTACTTTTGTTAAAAACACGAACGGGAAAGTTTCTGTGATAGATAAATTTATTGTTTACTTACATAGTTATGGAATTTTATTTATAACAGTAATTTTACAAATTAAATATTTTTTTTCTATGTTACTTTTTTGTTTTATTGGTCTACTATTGATATACAATAGTATCGTATTAAACTGTAAAACATCAGTTACAAAATAATTTAATGCCTTTTTTTCTTTGCCGGTATGTATTGAGAAATATTACATAAGCTTTAAAGTTATTGTTTAAAAATGATTAGGTCTATTTTCTTCCGATCATTGAACTCACTAAAATTTACTTTCACTTTCATTAACTTTTAATAGATGAGATTTGAAACTGGTGATATTACAAATTACTTATCGTTTAAATTATAAAAATGAAATGCTGATAGTATTATTATATCTTTCGAATCAAAAGATTACGAAGTAGTATCATTAAAATAAATACGAAATGTATTAGAAACTTCAAAAAGTTTAATTAGAAACTTCATTGTAATGGGTAGAGTTCTACTTATTATATAAACGCATTCGTATCTAATTTATAACAAAAAAATATATATTGTTTCCCATGCGGGTCTTAGCGAGATTGTTCGTCCAAGCCAAAGGTTTTAGATTGCAGAACTAAACATGAAACCCCGGAAGCTGCTAAATTTCTAAAGCAGATAGTAAAAGTCTTTCAACGGATATATCAATTTGTTATGGCTTACAGTTGTTGGCGCGTTCGACTGCGATCGTTGAAGTTAAGCAACTTTCGCAGTATTCGGTTATTGGATGGGTGACCAAAAGTTTGCTATCTAGAGCCTCCTTGCTTTTGACGCACGTTAAGACGTTAGTCCCGGCTGCATCTGCAGTGGTTAGCATCCACCAATCTGCACTAGACCTGTGTGATGGGTTATGACCAATCTCCCTATTACATCCATAGGGAAGACCTGTGCCCCAGCAGTGAGGACAATAATAGGCTGATGATACTGGCATCATTTATCTATTTACCAAGATTGTCTTATTTGCATCGAACTTCTTACGATTTTTTTAACTTAATAAATCACTGTAGGCGATTTGTCTTAATTTCATTGCCAAATTAGAATCGTTGACGCATAAAGTTGTATATTTCATTTATTTATTAATTATTCCACAATTATCTTAAGCTAGCTCTGCGTCAAGGGATGATGAGTCTAAATAAAGGAAATATAAGTATAGAATTTTGTTTAAAAATTGGCCAAGTGCGTGTCGTGCCGCGCGCAGTAGCCTGTCTTTACCACAATATATTTATGCTTGAGAAAATCTTATTCTTATTAAGAAAAATCAAATTCATTAACCAAAGTTGAACGACTATTACTCCTAAAGTAACATATTTAACTTTACCGCTATATTTTTTCCGAAAAGTTCATGAAAATCACTATTGTCATGACTTTTTCCAGGGTTTTTTCAAGACAATAGTTTATCTTTTAGAGGAGGGACACCCTACTCGAACAAAAATTAGTACTTTAAAGTTTAATATTTCACACACCGATCCCTAAATCGAATCTTAGGAACCCCTAAGTAATGTGAAAGGACCTATTCAATGATACCCCACACGATGGGGTAGACGATGACGACGAAAAACATCCCCAGGTTATATGTAGGAAAGCTACCCTTAAAAATATATTTTTATAAATTTTATTCTACCTTATGTCGGCGTGATTGATATACATATCTCCACAAAGTTACAGCTCTCTAATGCTAGCAGTCTCCAAGCAAAACCGAGGACGGATAGACAGACGGACATAACCAAACTATAAGGGTTCCTTGTTAGGACTACGGAACCCTAAAAAGGAGATCATGTCAATAATGTCATAAGTTAACTAAATATTTAGTTTTTCAATTTTGTAAAAGAAATCACGGTTTTTATAGATAAAATATTTATTAACCTGGCAAGTCTTTAAGTTCTTAACAAACACTAATATTTTTACAAACAAAATAGAGTCTTATTCTAAAGCTATCAATAAATTAAAAATAAATTAATTTTAAATACAATAATTTAATGATCGATTTGGTTTGGTTTTATCGTGAAAAGATTATAAACATAAGGATACAATTTATCTATCTTATTTAATCGAAATGAGAATACTTCTATGAAAAATTAAGTTCTATTTATCTACATGATGCAAGTACTCAAACTTTATTTATGTTTTTTCCTTTCGACTAAATTTGGGGATTTTCCATTATTTCTAGACGATGAGGGGTGATTTATTGGTTTCCATTCCGATTGAATATTTGGAACATAATTTGGTTCACTATCTTCTCTATCAATCGATTCACTATCGTTTTCTTTTTCATCATCACCGAAAAAATCTATTATTGGATGATAATTGTAATTTACTCTCTTGCCGTTTGAAGTGAAAGTTTCCTGTACCACATTACTTGGATCTGAGGGTTTGGATGTGGTTGATATTGTTTCGGGAACTACAGATTGCAGTTTTGGAGCAATCGTGATTCTCTTTGGAAAATTCACATTCGAAGTAGCTTGACCAACTTCAGGTTCTTCCAAGTCATCATTAAATTCTTCCATTGTTTCTAAATTTGAACTTGTGAATGATTCAACAGCCGAAGTACCTGATGATATTAAATCCTCAGGGCCACCAGATATTTTCTTTCTAATTGGTCTTCGATTTGGTCTAACCGGGCCTCTTTTAAACTGACTTCCAGTAATTTTGTATTTATTAGGAGTTTCGTTTAAGAACGTGAACGAATTAGGCCCAGATGGTGTCGGAGGCTCCAAATAGCTCGGCAAAGTAACTGTTTCAAAGTTATTAGATGAAGCTGGTATCCTTGATGACAAAGGCCGTTTGACATTGCGTACAGAGCTTGCTTGATTAAAAGAATCGGGGAAATAAGTGTTACCATAAGAGTCCATTGGATGTGAAGGAATGTTAGCATCACTGGATTCTTCGTTATCTAATATTTTTCCGTTACTAAATGGTACACCAGAGATCAAATTATGGCTGTCGCTAAATGGTGAATATGTCTCTAATGGCTTTTTGTGTGTAAATGGTGGCGATTTACTCACACTCGGTCTGTGAATTGTTGATTGGACTGATTCAAAAGCTTGGTTGCCATGTTCTGATGACAAATCATCGGTAGGGAATTGTTCGGATGATGTTTCGTGAACTCTATGCCCTACAGGAGGAAAAGATACACTGTATCCTTCAATATGGCAAGAACAACATGTTGGCACTTTGAATATATCCATGTGAAGACCATTTTGTTGATCCCATGTTAGTAGCCTATGATAATTGTAAACTTGCACGCATTTAGATTTAAAATTATCGGTGAGATAAGTGCATGATTCTTTCGGTTTTCTGAAACAAAAAATAACTATATATTAATTGAACATTATTATCAATAACAAATCACAAATCAAACAAATGAATGCTATAAGGTCGTTTTACCCTAACACTTAGTATTTTCTTTTATTCACATAACTCTAAATATTGTACGTAATCTTAGGTAAATTATGTAAGTATATGAATGTTTCAGTCTGTGGAAACTTAACTGGTTTATGAAAAAGTAATAAGTGTTACTTAATTGAATTGTGTAAAACTGTATGTTTCCCAAATGAAAATAAATAAAATCATACCAATATTGAAGAAGATATCACCACAGACGGCATAAATGGATTATGGATGATGAATGGATGGAATCAGAATTTACTCTGCATGGTGACAGTGTATCATATGGTTTTAAATCTCAAAAGTCATGTTTCTTTTAGTAATAATCAGCCTTTTTAACATATTTTGACAAAATCAGATAATTTATAAGGGTCCATACTATTCGGAAAAGAGAGTCCGATAACTTACAAGCATTTCTCAAGCCTGAGCGTCTGCGTGTGCTCGCCAGTGTTGACGATGTATTTCCACTGGCCTGAAGTTGCTCGCGCACGCTGCGGCCGCGCGTACTTCACGGTGCTGGGACACATGAACCCTGCTTCTCCCGCTCCCGCAAAATCTCTGTTGGCGGTATCACCTCGCCTGTGAAGAAATTGTAAGAAACAATGTGTAAAATTAGCTTTTCATAAGACTAAGAACTTTTAAAATGGATAAGTAAAGCTATAAGTAGTTACTCAACAAGTAAACTACAGAAAGGTTAGATTTTCCGTGCAGCCTGAGCAGATAAGTTGTGGAACATCTTACTAAGGGATTGTGAAACGTGATTACTTATTTACTGTTATGTTCGGGGAATCTTACTTAAAACTTGTAGAAGAGGCCCTAAAACTCAATTGGCCCTTGCTTCGGAAGGCATGTTTTTGTTGTTATAGGGGGCATACGAGCAGACGGCGTAAGTGATCACCATCACCCATGGACACTTGCAACACCAGGAGTATCACAAATGCGATGCCGGCCTTTAAGGAAGGAGTACGCTCTTTTTTTTGAAGGTTTTTGGGTCGTAATGGTCCGGAAACACTGCTGGCGACAATATATTCCACAGTTTTGTCGTACGTGGTAAAAAATCTGTTACATCTGTTTGTTACATCTGCTGTCGTAAGAACCTAAAGATCTGCACTAAGCCCGCGTGGTGGGTCATGGCTCTCTATTCCTTCCATAGGAAAGGCCCTTGCCTCAGCAATGGGAACATTAATAGATGCTTAATTACCTAAATACACATTGAAACTTTCGGATTGTTATGCTTAATTACCTGTTAGACACTAGGTAATGTTCCGCTGTATATTTGGCCTCCTGTGCCGCCGTCACTCCGTCGACTGCACTCTCCCCAGGGTCCTTGAAGTCAGCCAGCAGAGCCCCGGCAGCAGCTTTGTTTCTTCTTATTGATTGCACTATTGCTTCACTGTCAATTAAAATATTAAATTAGTTAATATCGGTGAATAAAAGTAAGTGTTCCAATGCAAATTGTCTATCACATACACAAATTGAACGGGTAAGCGGTTGAAGCTACAGTCTTAAACGTTTTACAGCAAATTCAAAGTTTATTAAATACAGCTAAATAATCTACAGTTTTTAGAAATGAAATGAAATTTATTTATTCACACAAAACAGAGTAGATACATTTTGGTGGTGATTTTCATTTAGTTCGTCCATTTTGCCAACGACAGGGCATGTGAATATCAAACTTGATTTAATTCTAAAATTTAAAGGTACTTATGTCGTTTTACTTATACTATTCTGAGTCAATTTTCGTTTCTAAATATTCTCTAACTGAGTAAAAATATTTCGTTATTAGCCTCTAAACTAAGCTCCGTTATCAAGCATGGTAACTTATTATAGATTTTTCTACAATTCGGATAGCAATTTTTATTGTAATATTGAGTACGCATATTGGGCAACATCAATCTACTACGATGCCACGCTAATCTGCAGGTACGTGTGTTTTAAAAAAAATATATAAGGATGCTTAACAAATATACAAAGTTTTCTGGTGCATCCCGACAAAAATATGCAGAAAGGCGTTGTAAAATGGCGACGCTCAAGCGAGCGTTACTATACGAGCGAGAAACCATCAATATTGCAAGTAAAGATTACATTCTAATTGCACTCGAACAAAGAGATAACGAAATAAAAAAGATAGATAAATTCTTTATTGCACACACACAAAAGAATACAATAATAAGTAAACAATAACATAATGTGGGCAAAGGCGGCGATCTCTTCCAGACAACCTTTGCGGTAAAGGATAACTAAACGAAGAGGAAGTTGCCGTATGCCAGCAAGATAAATAAAGAAATGTACAAAAGCTGAACGTTCATAAGGATAGTGAAAAATAAAATCATTAAAAGAGAATCTTCGTTGTTCAAGATTCAACCTACAAAAGACTGCTCAGAGTTATTCAAATAGAGTGACAAATGGATTACAAAGGTTTATAAAAAAGAAAAACGTGTTAGCTCTATTACCGACTATGTTTACACGACGATGATGATATGGTATATTTCTAAAAACCGGTCAAGTGCAGGTCGGCTTTGCAAACTAAAGGATCCATGCGTTGTTTAGACTAGATTGAGGAAAACGAGGCGAAATAAATCACGTTCCATATATAGAGACCCTTCTTTATTTGTTAGCTTTAATTCATTTTTATTTATATATATTTTAATAGAAAATATCCACTCTGTAAAGGTTTCAGGCGGGATTCGGACCGTGGTCTTTCGCTAACCAGCGGACGCACAAACCAATTATGCTACCGAGACCTTAATGGCCCTGTCGAATTTCTTCTAGTATTTCTTAAGGAGCATTTACATTTGATCATTAGCCAATAATCTGGTGCCCAAAAGACATTACTGGAAATGGGTACCCGATGCAATAGTTACATTGTTTTTACTGGAACACGGGCAAAACGAAAACTATCCGAATACAGGCGTACTCGACTCCGTTCATTTGCACTTAGTCGTCCGAATTCTATAGGCTGTCGTTTTCGGGCTAGCGACCAAGTGTAGTTGTGCCATTAGACTGAAAGGCAGAGCTATCTTTTCTCATTTTAGGTAAACCAAAATGTCAAACAAAACACCTTTACAAGTTATTTACGGGATTGTTACCATGTTACATGTTTTAGCGAGTTTCCGATATTTCGGCACTGTTGCAAGCGCCATGATCATGGAGTAACTGAAGTAATTGCGGGTAGGATATCGGTCTACCCTCCGACGAAGTCTTTTATTGCGTTCGATACCCGTACCACTGTTCACATTCTCACTATTCACTCGAAACTGTTCTCGACACACAACACTTACACTATCGGATCGCGACACGACACTTTTTCGATTATTTCCAGTTTTACATATACGAACCACAGGATTCCAGAGACTCACTAAATACAAGGTACATGGTAACAATCCCGTAAATAACTTATATTACTATTATGTTAGTGACCATGAAAGTTTAAAACAATATTCCTTTAAAAGTTTTAAACTCCTTTCTTTGTCGTACTATTCGCAAGTGGAATTATTTGCCTACGCATGTGTTCTCTCCTTCCTACAATCTGGGGTCGTTTAAGAGAGGGGTGAAGAAGCATTTTTGCAGGCCGGGAGTCGGTGATGAAAATTGTCTGGTTTTTACCGGGTATTGCCCTGACATTTCATTGAGCCTTTGGGTCTGGATGAAATGACAAGGAAGAGACCACGGAGCTTGTGCTTGCACGTTTCAGGTACGTAACGGTTACATCATGTATTTTCCAGAAACAGATAAAAAAAAGTAGACCTAGCGGCTAAGGAACGGACGGCTTCTTTCAAATACTTTTAAAACACACAGTCTTTGATGCATTTTCAAGATATCATGCTTCTTGGGGCATTTGGAGTACCTTCGACTTGTTAGCTAAGCTGCCAACTGGTAGAATTCATAGCCAGCTGACTTTGGTAACTAACAGCAACAAAGATATATTTCCTCCATCATGTATACATTTGTAGGACCTCATGGATTAAATGTTAGTAACAATCTATGGTATATTTGATACAGTGCGTGGAATTGTGTTTTAAGTCTTTCTCCGCATCATAGATTTGACTTGCAGGGCTTTAAACATTATAATATTAATTTATATAATTAGGTACTTATCTTACTGTTTGTGGGGAATTTAGTTTACTATTATGTCCTAGACGCCAGATCAAAATCTTTTTTACAGTCCTACATATCATTACTTTATTGATTTAGATAAATATAAATGATGGACACTCTACCTTTCTTTATTGTTTCTTGTATCTGCTATATGTAATCATCCGAGTTTTTGTATTTTTTAAGTCATTACTAATGTAAGTTTATTTCGTGATTTCATTTCAATAAGTAGTTTTGTCTCGACGCCCCGTGCTGTGCGCGTGAGTTGACATAATTATTATTTGCTGTCACGTACTTACATTTCGATAGGCAATATCACTACCAGTAACACTGACCCAGTTGCTTACAGTTTGTAGAAACATTGCTATTTCTCATGCATAATCATTCAGTTGTTGTAATATTTTTCAAACTGTTATATTGGCTACGTGCCTGATCTCTGCTGATGGAATGTAAGTGAAATTATGCCACATTAAACACACTTCAACAATCTTTTCATTTTTCTGCCCCGATAGTAAAAGACTTAGAGCGATAAGGTACTTTTAAAAGCTGTCTAACTTTATATCCACCCTATAGTTATTCAAGAACCGTTATAGCGAGGATAAAGATATCAATTATATATAAAACCACGTGTTTTTTTTAAAGTTACTGTCCTAAATAAATTTGTAGAGATCCACATTTGTGAAGGTCAGTTTCTGGAATTCGTGAAATTCCAAGTTTTGGAAATAATATTGACAAATATCTGTTACTGATTGCTTCCATCATAATTGCGATATTTTAGTGTGTATATTTAACAAATTATCCAAAATTGGAACCGTCGAACTTAAGAAGAGCATTATTTACAGAAAAGTGAAAAAAATCACGTCTGCCGTTATTAATATAGAGCAAAAAGTACCAAAAAAACATGTTTATTTATTTATTTTCTAATTTAGTACACACACAATAAAACAGATAAAAAGAAGAGGAACAAGAAATGTGTACAAGGGTACTGCTTATTTCATATTCAAATTTCTTCCAACAGGCCCGCGAAAGTGTAGGACGTCCTCAGGCACGATAGAGTGACGAGTAGCCCAAGATCGATCTGAGTGGCATGCATTTGGAGAGACCTATGTCCAGCAGTGGACTATAATGGGCTGTTGATGATGATGATGAGGCCCGCGAAAGGAAAGAACTTAAAAAAGGCAGTCAGTGTGTGCTTCCTGAATATAAATAAAATGTTTGTTGTATGGGAGCTCTCTCTAAATATTTACTTTATACTATCTTTAGTATTTGTTGTTATAGCGGCAACAGAAATACATCATCTGTATTTTGAAATTTTCAACAGTCTAGCTGTCACAGTTCATGGGATACAAACAAGTGACAGACAGATAGACAGACGGACGAATAGTCATCTCAGATAGGGTCCCGTTTAACCTTTAGGTACGAGATCCTAAAAAGTGGTTAATTTGTATAAATAGAAACAAAGAAAGTGGAATGTGTGTCACCGACATTAAACGAAACAAACTCAACAATTTAGGCGTTAACACTTGTTTAGTGACGTGTCATATGCTGGTCGCACTTTCGCCACGGTCGAGTATGTACATTATAAAAAAGGTTTTACTTTTTTTCATCTACTTTTGCTCTTACTTAGAAATTGCGCAACGATGACTTATGCTTTTTTATCAAGTTCAATCAACGAAAGTGTATGTACAGTAAGTACATTTTAGCCAGCGACCCTCTTTAGTAAAAGTGACTGTTGTGAATACTTGTTGCTTAAATTTCATGTAAATACTGAGTATGTATTTATACTTTATTGCACAATTAATGCCGACGGACTTAATGCCATTAGGAATTCTCTACCAGTCAACCGGAGAAGTATAGCAAAGATCTTAAGAAGGTAGTGCAAAAATAATTCATCTAAATATTTAATATTAGTTATAATTTTAGTATACCATTGAAACAAGATAATGTATATAGTACATAAAATACATCTTTATATATATAATTCTTCTGTGAGTGTGTATGTCACTGAACTTCTCTTAAACGACTGGACCGATTTTGATGAAATTTTTTGTGTGTGTTCAAGGGGATCTGAGAATGGTTTAGATTCACAATTTTGTCCGATGGACAACCCCTATTTTTTTAAGGCGGTACGAAGTTCGCTGGGTCAGCTAGTATTTATATAAATACATAAATAATAATAAATATCTACACACACATATGTATATACATACAAATCTATAACATATCAGAAGGATCTAGGGGAGGAATCTAGTAAATGATGACGTACGGAGCGTTTAAAATCTAGTTTGTTCGGAGCATCTTGAATATGAGGAGGCAGTGCGTTCCAGAGACGTATAGCTTAAAGAGAAAATGAGTTGGAAACAAAACCAGTACGGTGAGAGGGAATAGCTAGAGTATGTTTGCTGCTAGACTTAAGATTGAGTTTATGGATACTATCAAGATATCGAAATTTGCATTTCAAATATCCAGGAGCACATGGATCATTAATGATTGAATATAGCGTAGAAAGTATTCTAAAATTTCTACGTTGGCGAAAATGGAGTTTTTGATTTGGTTATTTTTTACTGAAATACACAACAGAATGATGAAAATACACTTTTTACTGACTCCATAAACATTAGTCAATAACGTGAGATCGTTTTCTAAAACTTATCAAATACACTATTTAATTTCTGAGTATTTAACTAATAATATTTTTTTATTAGAATCCCGTCTGCTGCCTAAACCAAGTAGAAGTTTTTTCTAGTATATGTTTTCAATATAATTGAAAACTTCTGTAATTTAATTTTATGATAATTGTACTTACATGTTGGTAAGTGGATTTTGGAGTGGAGTAATTCTTTTGGGCTTGAGGTAAACCCCTCTAATTACAAAACTATTATCATTGGAAGTTCCAGGATGATCACTAAAGTTAACTGGCAATCACTCCCTAAAATCCAACTTGACGGCTCTACTATTCCATTTAGGACCTCCGTGAAGAACTTAGGCTTAACTTTCGACAACTATATGAGCTGGACCCCCAGATGAAAGTTGTTAGTCTGAAATTGTTTACTTCCGCAGCTTCTCTGAAGAGACTACGCAATTTTCTAACCACTACCACTAAAATTGCCTTAGCTAAAAACCCTCTTCCTTCCTATTCTTGATTATGCTGACGTCTGCTTTTAAGATCTCACGGATAAACAGCTTGCGAACGGGTTAAACTAACGGGCGGCTCGGCTCTTGTGCGGTGCACCAGCGACGTCGGTTGGGGAGGTATCTGCCACGCCTTATCGCAGATGTGAAGCTTTAGGAATAATACTTACGTTGGGTAATCATCCGCGTGTAGACACAGCGTGTTGGTGAACAGTTCGCACTTGGCTTGGTCAGCTGCCGACGCCGAGCTCGGCAGCTTCCTGGGCGGGGCTGGGCGGCGTCGGCTCACCGCTCCCAAGGGACTGACAGGGCTAGCGGGCGGCTCGGCTGTGGTGCGACGTACCAACGAAGTTGGCTTTGGCGGGTATGTGCCACGCCTTATCAAGTTACCTGTAAAATATAGTTTTTAGTTGGAGTTTACTCCTTAAGAATCGATTTGCATATATAAGGGGCCCGATATGAGAAAAATGTGAGGAGTAAAATCTATCGATGAATGACATTAATGACCTCGTTACGTTTTTGTGCGCAACCTCATCTGCGCACCTTTCACTTTTAGCCATGGCAACGGATAAAAAACATTAAGTTGTCACAAATGTCAATAAAATAAATAAACTACAAATAGATAAAATCGGAGCAAAATTAATGAAAACAGAATATAGAGAAATGCCGGTAAATGTCCAGCACTCTGGAATAGTGATTTTCAGTACAGATGGAACTATAATACATATTTACAAAATGATGACTAGTGTGAGATATTTTTGAAATTGTGTGTTTCCAGAAATACATAATAAAATATATGATGAATATCGCTGATGTTAGATGATAAAATGTGTGACATAGAACTTATGATAGTCGAAACCATGGGACGATTCCTGAGGTATCTCTACTTGTAACCGGCTTCTTCGGACTTGATTTTGTTTTGTTTGTGTTCAAAAACAATTATTTTTAGAGTGTAAACTCCGGTCGTACGTCGGAGCTGACACACACATTTAAGAAGAAGAAAGAGAAAAAGAAATTTTCTTAAAATTTGGAGGTATTGTAATGTAGGACACGGCGATCGCTTAAACAGATGCGGCGCCCAACAACCACACTCAAGGAACCTCGGTTCTTAGAGTTCATGGCAGAGCTGTGATTTTAGTGATCCCAGTATTGAGTATTCTTTACTATTAAAGTAATTGTAACTTTTAGGAAGTGGACACGGCGATCCCACCAACGGGTGCGTTGCACGTACTAATGGGGACCAACGACTACGCCCGCATACTCGGCAGACATTAGAGTGTGTGTCAGGTGATTGTTACACGAATATTAGCCGTGGTTTTTGTAGAGTCCTGCTCAATTTGCCGAACCCTGATCTTGAGGGTAAGAGCAGGAAGAAGCCCTAAAATAAACTCATCGCAATCCCGGTGACGAGGAAAGCGTCACGCTTATACAAGACACTAAAAAAAGATGGGACGCGGACGGCGGATATTACAATTGGTTGGGGACGAGTAACCAGAAAACTATTTGATGATGGAAACATTTGCACGTGACGGAATTTGTGAGTGTCTCCATAGTGAGTGTAAAGAATTTCTTTATAGATACAACAAAATATTAAACGTAACAACCTTAGTGAATTTTCATGGGTGGTGATAACTGCGTGTTCGTTTTGACTCTGAAGAAGTACTTTTAGATTTAACAGGATATTGATCACTTTCTTGTATTATGGGAAGTTGCGAGCGTAAGATCCACCGGAAGGTATCATCGGTTTATTACAGTTAATTTACTTCGGCTATGGTGAAAGTCTAATGGTTGATAGTCTTATAAAATTACAATTAATTTACAGCCATACCGAGAGAAGCTGGGTCACATACATTTTTAGTTTTCTTCTTTTAATAAATAGTATGTATAGTATCTAATTGTTTATTTATTCATGTACTTCTTCGTTTTATCTTACTCAACCGTGCACTATACTCATACTAGGAGTATGCTGTATATGGAGTCGATGTCTTGAGGGTACGGGGACATTTGCTTCCGTGCCTTTGGCGAGGAAGAGAACACGAGGAGACTCCCCTCTCCTAGAAGAGGAGAGGAGTATGGCGTATATGAAAACGGTGTCTTGAGGGCACGGTGATTTTGCTTCCGTACCGTTGGCAAGGAAGAGAACACGAGGAGAACTACTTTCCCCCTCCCACTCCTCCGGAAGCCAGTGGATTGGTATGGGAGCTCCATGTTGGATGGTGCCCCTGATACTCCGGGGCACAACACATCAGGATGGTTTACACTGTTTCAACCCACTCTCGGGATTCAGGGGACCTATGCCCGTAGAGTGTCTGCCGGACAACCGGTGCAGGAGCATTATCCTCTACGCTGCTTAATGTAAGGAGGAAATGTAAGGAGGCTACTTCTGCTTTTCTGAAGGCTCTTAGCTATGATGACACTGAAGATCTTCTAACTGTTCCTACATAAGTAACTCAGAGTATTATTAAATTAAATACGAGTACACAACATAAACACACTTCCACATGCACGCACGCACACAGACGCACACACAGCATAACACATACTCACAAGTTAATATTAATATTTGTGTTAAATTATTAGTAAGAGGTACCATTATCCACCTGTTCCAGAGTCGGAGAGGCTGGTTATCTGTCATACAGGTTTTCCTAGTGCAGAAGCCAGTCTCTTACATAGAGTTATAAGTCAGGTACCTAAATTGTGAATTTGCTTATACCTCACTTTTCACCATTATGTAATTGTATGTGAGAGAAAAAAGAAAGTATTTTTCTATTTCTAATGCGAAGCCGCGGTGTCTTCTTCCGCGTCTCCGCACACAGCAGCTTAGTGACTTTTTTACTGGGTCCTGCTTATTTCTCTATTAGGAGTCTACAGATACTTACGCCTTGCTCCTTACTCCAGGTGGGTAAGGAAGGCGTACAGGCTTTTCCAGAATTTAAAAATTTTCCGGTCAGAATACCAGCGTTTCTGTGACATGTTACGTTACATTTCGGCAGCATTATGCTGAGGCGGGGTCCTGATTGACCAATCAATTTATAAGTTAAATTAATTTTTATTTTTTTAAATATTTCTGGGTCCTCTTGTGTTAGTTTTATTGGTCAATAAAATGGAACTCTCTCTCTCTCTCTCTCTCTCCCCCTCTCTCTCTCTCTCTCTCCCTCCCTCCCTCTCCCTCTCTCTCTCTCTCTCTCTCCCTCTCTCCCTCTCCCTCTCTCTCGCTCTCCTTTAATGTTTAGCAAAATAGCATGTAGTTTTATTATGTTGATAGCTCAAAGAAAATGAGAACGAAAAGTTAAATCACACTTAAAAATTAATTCCTGGCGTGAATCAGAAAGCGTTACTATTTGTGTATACTTTTATGTTTAATCGTCACTATTGTAAACATACTTTTAAATCAGACTATAGTATAAGTGAATTTTTAGTACGATATTAAACTCTATGTATGCTTCTGTTCGCTGTTTTATCGACTATAACTATTACATGAAAACCGTTTTATGTGATACTAAAAATTAACTCAGCTTAAACACCATGAAACCACTTTTCTGTGCAATTTCTCCACAACTTTGTCTCTCATGCTTTCCATCAATATCAATGATTTTATTTCAAAAGCTTAGATAAAACTTTATGCATATTCATATATGAAATAAATAACAAATAAATATTTCCAACACTCACACCAATTAACCTACCCCCAAATAAGCACTGTGAGGCTTGTGTTATGGGATACTAGGGTAACGGATACAATCCGTATACTGATACATATATGTGTAGTATATTTATATTTCATTCATTCATTCATCATCAGCCTATTAATGTCCCCACTGCTGGGCACAGGCCTTCCCTATGGATGGAATAGGGAGATTGGGCCATGACCCACCACGCTGGCCCAGTGCGGATTGGTGGGTGCTAACGACTGCAGATGCAGCCGGGACCAACGGCTTAACATGCCTTCCGAAGCACGGAGGAACTCGAGATAGTAAATTTTTGGTCACCCATCCAATGACCGACCACTGCGAAAGTTGCTTAACTTCAACGATCGCAGCTGATCGCGCTAACCACTTGCACCATCGAACTCCTCACTTTATAGAAATAGATGTATATTTATATAGAAATAGATATTAAAAACATCCACGACTGGAGTACAAATGCTCGTATTCATCACACAAACATCTGCCCCCACCGGATTCGAACCCGGGTCCTCTCGTGTAGGCCACACCTTGAAACCCGGTGTACAAACCACTCGGCCACGCAGGTCGTCATATACATTATAATACATGCCTATGTGAAACTAGGATTTCAATTATGCAAGCGAGCATTAAGCATATCTATATAGTCTTTCGAAGGTAGCTCGACAATTTTAAATAAAAAATCATTATTCTGACGATGCAGACCTGAAAAGGCTGCGAAACGTCAATAAATAAATAAAGTTTCGTGCATTAACCCGTAAAAACTAGTTTTATCAACGCACAGCCCAAACCCCAGTGGTTTGGATCGGATCGGGCTGAAATTTGGCATGCAGGTAGATGTTATGACGTAGGCGTCCGCTAAGAAAGGATTATGATCAACTCTACCCCCAAGGGGATAAAATAGGGAATGAAAGTTTGTATGAAACTATTTCAATTCTAAACCGATCGGGCTGAGACTTTGCATGCAGGTATAAGAAGAATCCTAGATGAATGTCATTATGTATAATACAAGACTGAGAACAAAAACTGTAGTCTACATTTCAGCTTTACACCGAAGCGAAGCGAGGGCGGGCCCGTAATCGTAATAATATTATAGTTAAAGTAATCATCTTCTTTGTAAACTCCTTATCTCATTAAATATGAATTAATGTGAGACTTGAATTAAATAATGCAAACTGTAAAAAAAAAATTTTCAGAATATTCCATTAGGAAAAATCTTATTCTTACTTGGGACTTGATGAGATCGATGGCGCAGGTGTTTAGCTCATTCGGCTGGCGATCGTGAAATTTAAGCAACTTTCGCAATGGTCAGTCATTGGATGGGTGACCAAAAATTAATTATCTTTCTCACCTTCGAGTTTCAGAAAGAACGTTAAGCCGTTGGTCCCAGCTGCATCTGCAAACGTTAGCACCCACCAATTTGTACTAGGCCTGCGTGGTGGATCACGGCCCAGTTTTTATTGGAACGAAGTTCCTTACGGCAGGCTTGGAGGGCATAGGGATTTTGCTGCGCGACCGAACTGAAAAAAATGTGATAGTAAAACCGTAAGAAAAAATCCGTGGAAAAAAGTGCGTGGAATAAAACCGTTAAAAGAGACGTGCGCAGGCGCGACAGTCGCATATACAAGCGAGTTTGCAATTTGTGTCGATTCTACATTAGCCGAAGGAACTTCGTTCCTACCTGGTGTCCCAAGATACCACATCATTTTGTTATCCTTACTTTTTCTATCGACGTATCTGTTGAGAGCTCTGAGTTTCTCGGCGACGGGCAGGTCCTGTGCCAGGGTCTGGTTGGTGGCTGCCGCTGTCAAGTCCGTGGTGTTGTCCCCGGAGCCCTTGAAGGCCGATCTGCCTTGCGCAGACGCAGGCGCCTCTGTTGAAGTTGACGCGTTCTTCTATGACGTCAATAAAATGTTAGATCAGATCAAACAGATAATGGTGTAACAAAATTTTTATCCATTCCGGAAAGAAGTGTGCTGTCCGCCTCTCTTAAAAGTGAGATTTAATATTTTTAATCTGAATATTCTAGAATTTTATTTATGAGATTATTAATGGCTTTAATTAAGGGGTTATGAATTAAGATTTTTATTTTTCTTTCATTGTCTTTTTATTTATTTGAGTTCGTGGTACTTTATCTCGCTATCGATATGATAAATTAATATATTTTTAATTCATGTGATAATTTCATCGAGTGTAGTACTAGTATCAATTTTTATTTTATACTTTAAATATATAGTTTTAGATGATTTATTAAGTTTGTAACATGCTTAGAGTAACATTACATTAGAGAAAATGGTATCTACAGATCTTTCTTCCTGTACTTACATCGCCTTCTTCAGGGTGAGTTGTGACCGAGCTGTTTACTTTATGTTTCGAGTCATTTGTTCTATTGTGGTCTTGTGCTGGTCTATCAGTTTGTGTTGGTTTGTTTGTCCTCTGTGGCAGAATCCTTCTAGTAGGAAATCTGAGATGTAACGTTGAAGGAGTTTGTGAGATTGTTTTGTTATTAGCTTGTTCATTGTTTGCATATTTGTGTTCATGTTTGTCTGTATTCTTGTCTTCTGTGTTAATTTCAGGATTTGGTTGAATGTCATCGTCAATGTATGATACGTCCTCGGTGAATGATCGCCTGAGCAGTTGCTGTGGTGGCGGTGGGTATTTTACTTCTCTCAACTGTTTGCCTGGTCTGATGGCGCGTCTGATCAGATTCGCCATGTCTAACAGTATCGGCAGCATCAGGTCTGTAGTGGTGTTTGCGTTGTTACCGAACATTGATCTCACCTGTAATTAAAGAGGTCTTATTTTATCAATCGATCAAGGCAATCGATTTCAAATTATTGCTCTCATTTTCACGTTTTAATAAAGTATAGAGTTCAAACCAATATTTGTCTTAATAAATGTAATGAAGTATCAATAAACTGAAATATAAAAACAAAATTCTGAGATTATTTTATCCATAATGAATAATAAAAACCAGCCAAGTATGTGTCGTGCCAGGCTCAGACTTCCATAGTTTTCCATTGTTACCGCAATATATTTCAGAAGGAGTCTTTATTTTAAGCAATTACTTTGTCTAAGTCACTTGTAATGTTTTCTTCTAAGGATTTTTATTAGTTAAGACCTATTTTAACCGTTATAATTTTCATTAAAAGTTCATAAAAAGCACTATTGTCATGATTTATTTCAGTTTTTTTAAGCCAATAATTCAGCTTTTAGAGGGCACGCCCTCCTCGCACTTTAAAGTTAAATATTTCGTATATTCGATATTTAAAATTTCAATCAAAATAACCTTTACCTACTTATTATAGCTATTAACGGGATTGTTACCATGTACCTTGTTTTTTATGAGTCTCCGATATTTCGGCACTGTTGCAAGAGCCATGATCACGGAGTAACTGAAGTAATTGCGGGTAGATGTTATTGGCAGACATATCGGGCACTTAAAGTGCGAGTGAATAGTGAGAATGTGAACAGTGGTACGGGTATCGAGCGCAGTAAAAGATGACGTCAGAGGGTAGACCGATATGTCTGCCAATAACATCTACCCGCAATTACTTCAGTTACTCCGTGATCATGGCGCTTGCAACAGTGCCGAAATATCGGAGACTCATAAAAGACAAGGTACATGGTAACAATCCCGTTAATAGCTATAATGTTAGTGACCATGAAAGTTTAAAACAATTTACCTACTTAACTACTAAAAAAATAACTAATTTACATAACTGCCAGCCTTTCGATCACCAGTCACCTCAGTGAGTCTCTTTGACAGTTTCTTAAAAAGAGAACGAGCGCTTGGACACTATGGGCCCATAGTCTCAACCCTAAACGGCACAAACATGTAGTTCTCATTGAGAGCTGAATATATGCGCCGCTTGGAGCACTCGACAGAGGCCGCCGCCGCTCCTGCAGCTAGGAAGGTACTGCCTGTGTGGCACAGAGCAAGCATATCCCCACAAGTTGCGTCCCACACAAAAGGACGACCCTGTTTCCAAGGAATGAGCCTCACACAGTCAGGTTTCTTGCCATTAGGCTCAAGGGCCGCTGACCTCACAGAAGCTTATCGAAAAAGCCAACTCGATACATTTCGCGCCAAACACTCCAAGAAACATTAGAATGCGTCACACCGACATTCTAATGTAAAAACAAAAAGAAGATTAATTTAATTAAAGACCAGGCTGTATGGGCATTGTTCCCTTTGCCTTCCCTAAAACGGGTAACTTCAACAAAAAAAATCAAGGGCCGGTAAATTGACAGCGACAGGAGCCATGTGAATGACGTCATTGATGCAGTCGTGGCGGGAGACTCAACCAGCGCTCATTTGGCATGAGAGGCCATTATGTCCCAACTCACTGATGCGAGTACCGCAACGATAGCGATGGGAATGATTTGTCTTGATGCCAAGTCTAAGCGATATCATGAGAGACAGAGTGCTCTTGTCAAGTAAAGTCCAGATATTAGCTGAAGGTAGAGCTTGCAGCCAGTAACCAGATTAGGCCTTAAAAACCGAAGGAAGGCGAGCACGCTCAGTGGTGCTTTCAGAGGATACTATAATGCGATTCAACTAAGAACAGGACCGACTGGGCGCCATATTATGTTGTCATAGCTGTCAATTCAAACCAAATAGGTAGAGTGAGCAAAAAAAAGTTTTTATTTAATAAAACTTATTTACTAAGATTAAGTGAGAAAAAGCATCAGATTTTTTTAATTACATTTATTTACTAAGATTTAGAAAAAAAAACCAACGATTTTGAATAATATTTATTTATTAAGACTGTGAGAAAAAACATTAATCAGAATCTAGCTCTTCTATTCCGCTCATCTGTGCATTACCACCGGAGTAGTTATAATTAATCATGCACTATTACTAGGTCACATACGAACATGCATCCTTTATGTAAACGAAAGTTTGAAATCGAGTTTCTGAACGCAACTTATAACAACCATTCACGGCCAAAGCTCAATAAGTGAAAAAAAAATATCAACCGATATTAATTATCAATATTTGTTATTGTTTGTTTACAAATGTTTGGTTTCTATTCTTGAATTGGCGGAGTGCTATAAAAGGGTTCCAGGTTTTTTTTTTGCAAACCGTACTTTTCAAGCGACATTTGACAGATAGAGGTCATTGGCTTTCCTATTCTTATTTGAATCGCATTATAAAAGATCACTATGAAGACGCAAACAGAGCAGCTCGTCCCATTGCCTCTGTGAGAATAAGGAGGATGGTGGATCTACTCCCGGGCATGCTTCACACCAAGCAGTCCTGGCCTCTGCAAGGTGAGCCAACTCCTTATTTAATATTATATTTTGACTGTCAATGCCTTCTACATTGGCTATGTAATGTCAAGGCGATGAGAAAACCTAGTCCCACTTTTGGGACAATATTTAATGCTCATATTGAAAGAGTACATTGTCTCATACGTAACCTTAGATTCTTAGATTGTATATCTCTTCATTCAGCTTTAAGAATGGACATTATATAAAACAATTAACATATTATGTCAAGATAAAAATCTTATTATGTTAGTTAATGTAATTTTGTTTAAATGCATCATTGAATTTTGTAGTTTTATCTTTGTTTCACACGGTGATAATTACATTTTTAAACTGGTATTGGATTTACACGAGTTTTTAGTAAGCATTGTTACTTTAAATTTTACATACCTATAGTTTCCTTTGGTATGCAACTTTAAAAAAAATATAAATATACCGACTATATTAATTTTAATATTGATACTGGTATTTTTTTTCTGCGAACATACCCGAAGCACTACAATATCACGGCAGTCGCAGTAGTGCTCTGAAGGCATTATTGTATTGGACACGAAGGACATAATAATACAAAAAGCCTCAAAAAGAGTATCAATAGTAATAATAATCATATAATTTCTTCCAATAATCATAATCAAAGTCATTTATTCAGTTTAGGCTCTTACAAGCACTCATGAATGTCTAGAAGCTACGCCATTGGTTCGTAAATCTACGGCGGGAGACCTTGTACTGTGAAGAACCGGCAAGAAACTCAGAAAGGGCTGTTTTTTTCTCCCTGTTTCATTATTTACTGAATCGTCACATTGGAAAATGATTTCAGAGATGATTCATGAAGTACCCCTTTCATTACATAAAGTTTAAATATACATTAATTGTTAACCTGCATTTTGATTGCTGTGTCATACAGTTTAAATACAAATAGTGTTATTATCCAATAATAACAAATTGCAGTTTTCTAGTTTACGCTTTAGGAGGTCACATTAGAAAATGAAATTGTTCTTTACTTGCTACGGTAGACACCTACTTAAAAAGACGTACCTTTTCCACTTCTATCTTCTTCATCAGAATAATAACAAAAATAATAGCTTACATCCAACGCTACTTCATAACAGTATAACTACAGACGCCGCCCGCGGCTGCGGCCGGAGTCGGGCACCACGACCCCGGCGCCAGCCGCGGGCGGCGTCTGTCTGTGAGACACTTAATATTGAATATATTTCGTCAATGGCTGTATATCATGCAAGATTGTTAAACCTATTCCCTTACACTCTTACTCCCATCCTTTAAACCTTTTATTTATTTTCTGTTTCGTTTCCTTTCCTCTCCTCTTCTTTCGCCTCTCACTATTATTAAACCGTCCACTCCTCTCCCTGTCTTTCCCACCCATTCGACCTCCCTGGCTGCATCTTGACGCGGCCTCGGATTCTGATGGGGCTACTCTACCAAATATCGAATCCTCTACATCACAATTATGTTATATTCATCACCTTAAAATGTAATAAGTAAATGAGTGTTTTAAAAAAAATACTCCTAACAAGATACCATGCTGATATCTATGTTTAATCTGTAATAGATCACGTTACGTTAAAAACATAAAGACCGGTTCGTACACTATAATAATACCGTGACGTTTCTCTTCTAAAGATGATGCCATGATGCCAGACATGAATGAAGGTTACACAACGCCGCTACGGTATCCCCGAATCATTTAAAAACCATAAAGAAGCGAAAGTGTTCACCGATATCGAGAGATAAATCTACTCCGGATTGTAACTGTACGAGAATAGCACTTAACTCACGGGTACACGGTCTAAGTGATGAGCGTTTGGATTTACGAGTAATAACTTATCTAGATGAACCAGATTTATTATAAGACTAGCGACCTGCCCTCGCTTCACTTTCAAACTCATTTATGTTTTTATTTATTTTTAAGCATTTAACTGCTAGATGTTAAAATCTAAAGAAAAGTTTACTAGAAAAAAAAATCATTGTGGGTTACCTACAATGCGAAGAGATGGCGCTGCCTTGCAGCTTAAGGCTAGGAAAATTTCGACGCGGAGAATAGGGCCGTGGTAGCATAATGGTCAGTGCATTCGCCCGGATTGCGAAGGACGCGGACCAGGCACCGCGTGGATTTTTTTTCTAGTAAACTTTTCTTTTGATTTCAAACTCATTTATTCAGTCTAGGCTGTTACAAGCTCTTGTGAACGTCAACTCTATGCCATCAGTTAGCGGTCTATGCAATCTACGGCGGCTGATCTTGTACTGAGAAGAACCGGCGAGAAACTCAGCAAGGGCTATTTTTTCTCCCTGCTTTAATTCATACAGTATCGTCAATTGAAAAATGACTTTGGTGTGGACTTTAGTTTTTGCCCTCAAGCTATAAATAAACTTTTATCTTGAATCTCTTTATCTATTGCTGAAAACTGCATTAAAATCCGTCGCGTAGTTTAAAAGATCTAAGCGTAAAGATTTTATAGGCAGAAAGTAGTTCTGTGAATAACTTATTA